AGGCTATTGATCTGCTTCCTGATAATTCGCTGGTGGGACTCATTACGTTTGGCACTTTTGTTCACGTTCACGAATTGGGGTTCGGTCAGATTCCAAAGACATTTGTGTTTAAGGGCTCCAAGGATGTGTCCAAGGAGCAGCTTCTGGAGCAGATGAGCTTCTTTCTCAAGAAGCCTAAGCCACCTACAGGTGTCATTGCTGGTGCTAGAGATGGACTTTCGACGGAGAGTATTGCCCGCTTTCTGCTGTCTAAGTCTGAGTGCGAGTTTGCTCTTAATTCAGTACGTACTTACGAACTTTGAGATAGAAATGACTGCCAGATGCTGTTGTTGAATTGAAATTGAAAGTGGTGTTCGAATTAATAGGTTTTGGAGGAGCTACAGAAAGATCCTTGGGCTGTTCCAGCGGACCAGCGATCCCCGAGGTGCACTGGAACTGCCCTGAGCATTGCAGCCAGCTTGCTTGGCGCTTGTGTTCCTGGGACAGGAGCAAGAATCTTAGCATTTGTTGGTGGCCCGTCGACTGAAGGACCGGGTGCCGTAAGGAATTTTTCTTTAATATCATTGCACCAATTGTCTTTTAATCATTTAAAACTAATTGTTCAATTTTTTGACTTTGGTTGGTTTTTTTTTAATGCCTTTTGGATTGGGTTCTGAAATGATCCTTATTTCTTCCTCATTTTCACTTTGTAGATTGTTTCTAAAAATTTAACTGAACCAATTCGGTCTCATAAGGACTTGGATAAAGATTCTGCACCTCATTATCATAAAGCTGTGAAGTTCTTTGAGGCACTCTCAAAGCAGCTAGTTCATCAGGGACATGTACTTGATCTATTCGCTTGTGCTCTTGACCAGGTAATCTGCACCATGGATAGGTTCACTCCATTTTTAATTTTTGGGTGGTGCTCTCATCCTTTATGGTTACTACGTATTTTTTTTTTGTTTTTTTATTTCTAACGAGATTCAGTTGAGTATGGGATATATTAAACGGTTCTTATGGCAATTTTCCTAATGCAATGATACTCACTGGTTGGAAACTTGTAACTTTTGTGATTTGTGATGGGAATGTGTCCTACTAGAAGATTCTCATGTAAATTATTTACATGGATGACTGTTATTTAACTCGTGGTAGTTTAAATTTGAAAAAAGAATGTTCTTTAAGGAAGCATTATGGAAATTCAAAAGCCCAAGGAAAGTAAATGTGTTTTCGTGGATTCTTTATCATGGGAAGTTAAATACTGCAGATTTGATTCAAAAGAAACTTTCCTCAGCCTCATTACTTCCACCCTTTTGCATCCTCTGTGAGAACAGTGGAGAAGATATTGATCATCTTTTTTTCCACTGCTCATTTGGGAAGGAAGGGTGGTCATCTCTTTTTAGAAAGTTCAAGATTGATTGGGTTTTCGATTTAAAAGCTGAAGCTAACTTGATGCAGTTGTTGTGTGGAGGATATATACATTCCTCTTCTACGACTCGTCTGTTATGGATTAATGCGGTTAAAAGCTTCCTTTTAGAATTATGGTTTGAGCGGAACACAAGGCTATTTAAGGGCAAGCGGAGATCTTTGTCCGATTGTCTCAATTCAGCCAAATTTAAGGCCTCTAATTGGTGTTCGTTGGCGGATTCCTTTTCCCATTATTCCCCAACAATTATTTTTAATAATTGGGGTGTTTTCATTAGTCTAGAGTTGTTCTTGTATTTTTAGATTTCCTTGTTCGTTATGTCTTTTCTGGATATTATGTCTTTCTTATCTTTTCTTTATTCCCTTATTTTGTATTTTCACTCTTTCGAGAGTTTGTATTTTGTTCATTTTCATTTCATCAATGAAAAGTTCGTTTCTTGTTAAAAAAAAAAAGGAAGCATTATGTTCTTTAAGATTTATTCTTGGTCAAAGATGCTTGGATTTATATTATGGAAGACTAAGCAGTTATCTGAGTAAGGTTGTTCTGCCAGAAAGGAAATAGAGGAATTTGGCTTTGGCAAGCTCACATTACTGCTGTAGACGTTAATTATGCTCCATAAAAGATAACTATTTCTTTTATTTTATATTTACAATATGTATAATAGACATTGATATACTGTACTATTGTTCATATGCATTTTTGCACATGTTTTGAGATTTAGTACCTTTAATTTAAAATATATTTTTTAGGTAGGTGTTGCCGAACTTAAAGTGGCAGTTGAAAAGACTGGAGGGCTTGTTGTGCTTGCAGAAAGTTTCGGCCACTCAGTTTTTAAGGATTCACTTAAACGTGTTTTTTCTGGTGACTATGATCTTGGCCTATCATCAAAGTAAGCTTTTCATTGCATATACATTTGGAAAAAGAGTTTATCATACCTTTTCTTCTTTAGTAATAGAATGATTAATTATTGGCTTACATTTATCTGTTATAGTATAACTATGAACTATTGTCCACTTGGATGCCCCTCACATTATTTATACCTTTTAGGAGTTCAATGAACAATTCCTGTTAATCTTTTTTAATGAAAAAGAATAATGTCTTTAAGGACATATATATTGTAATATGTAAAAATTTGTAGATTCAATCTTGTAATCTAATTGAACGTGTTTGTATTTTGTCCCCTTCTTGGACACTAGTAAAGTATCTGATTGTTTGTGTTTGTGATTCATTTTTTATTAAAATTAATTCAGATTGCCAATTTGTAGACGTGTTTGTGACATATTAATCAGAACCATAAGAATCATGTTTGATACTTGTTAAGTAATATTTTCCTCAGTTTCTTTATACATTAAAGCTTTGGGAGATGTATTGTGGAGAAGGGATGTGGAATTCATTGTATATTTAGTTTAGTTGGGGAGTTAAATATTTGTGGAAGACTTTGATTAAAGATTAGAATTATTCAAGATTGATCAAAGTTTTTGCGTTTTCTTTCATTAGTTTAGTCTGTAGCTTTTAATCTCTAACTTTCTTTCCTCCTTTAAATATTGTTGTAGTGGTATATTTGAGATCAATTGCTCAAAGGATATCAAAGTTCAGGGAGTTATAGGTCCCTGTGCGTCTCTTGAAAAGGTATTACCTAAGGAATAACTAAAGCCTGCCTCTTCTTTCCAAATGTTTGCATCTTTGAAGTTCATTTTGCTGGCTTTTGTGCAGAAAGGTCCTTTGTGCTCAGACACTGTCATTGGTCAAGGAAATACAAGTGCATGGAAAATGTGTGGTCTTGATAAAGCAACAACTTTAAGTCTCATATTTGAAATTGTTAAAAAGGAGAGCTCAGATGCTACTGTTCAATCTGCCAGCAATCAATTTTACTTTCAATTTTTGACATAGTATGGTGCCTGAACTTTACCTTTCTAGCTATTTCATCTATTACGCTTAGGTAGATAAAATCATTTCTTACTTAGTTCAGCTTTGATTCCAGTTATCAGAACAACAGTGGTCAAATGAGACTCCGTGTTACAACCCTTTCTAGAAGATGGGTTGCTGGACCTGGAAGCATACAGGTGAGTGTTGGACTCCTGTACTTGATGCACCACCTATACGTAGATTTTGTTTAGTACAAGATTGTTGGGGATGTTAGGGGGCTTTTCTATAGAACTTCTGTCTGCTTTAAAGAATAGCTTTCTGGTGACTCGTAAAGCTCAATACATGTTGTAATTGCTATCCACAATAATATGATTTTAGAAGGATTGAAGGAAGAATTAATTTAAGTCGTTAGTGAAAATGAAATAAAAGAAAACAAGGGAAAACAACTTTAAGACATAATTGCCCAAACATGTTCTCACTGAACTATTGTTTTAGAAAGCAGAAAGTTGTTTTCCAGCCAACAACTTCACTTCACAAGCGAAATTTCATGACAAGAAACCTTTCCGTAGGCTGAATAGCTGGAATATTTTCCATTGATTAAGATAAAGGTACTGATGAGTAGGCTATTGAGGTTCTTAACTATCAAATAGTTTTCTCTAGGATCATTACGAATTTCATAGTCTAACTCCTCCGTGGTCATAACTTCAAAGATAAGGCCAGATATTTAGATGGGGCCATGCGGTTTTTGTGCAACTTTTGAAAAATTTGCACTGAGAGGAATGGATGAGTGTGAAACTTGAACAGAAATTTAGAAGAATTGGGAGAGAGTTTATTTATTTATTTATTTTTTATGGCTGGCTTTCTCTTGGTATATTATGTCCAAGTCTGTTGTAATTATTCTCTCTTCCATTACTGCTGATTGGAAAACCATTTTGTAACTACTATGAAGATTGAAGAATGATAGCCTACAGTGACTACTGAATAACACGAAGTCTACTGTGAATATTTTCTGTTTACTTAAAACATACCACTGTGGGCCAAGAACCGCAGGGAAAGACCATTGGATGAAATCAACGGTGTTGCTCCTATTGAAGACTAAAAGTCTGTCTTTTTGGGATATTCTTCTAAATTTTGGTAAAGAAGAGGGTTGAAGAGTGAAAGGGGGACGCCGGTAAATGGGAAAGGGAATATTTACACGAAAGACTGCACGAATAATCTAGATACCTAAGATGCATATAACCAAAACATGAACGAACTTCTTGAACAAGAGACAACATAATGGCAACTTCTCTATCAAACGAGGTTTTTTTTCCCTTGATATCCGTATGTCTGGGCCCGCTTGCGCGCATCTCGACTAATCACTGGACAACTGTCTAACCCTATTACATTTGGTTACCAAGGAAACTCGTAGGATATTTAATCTTAGGTAGTGGCTACCATGGTTTGAACCAATTCTCTTTAAGTCCTTTACTATTTACATTGACCCTTGTTGACTACTAGGCGAACCCATGATGATTTATCAAATGATGCTCTTTTGAAGTGGAAAATCTGAGGAATAAAAAAAAGTACAGAAACATTGTGGGTTTTTGTTTTTTCTGGGAGAAGATATAAAGGAGTTGGTCCATGATTTTGGACTACAAGTAGGTGGAAGATTGAAGATTTACCTAATTGCCAATCTCACACCTAGCAAGTTGTGGCAAGCAACCTACCAAGCTTAGCAGGGTCGCCAATTAACACCAGTCATAGAACTTCCTACTAATGTTCAGATGGGATGTAGACTAAAAAATGTGCTTAGACTAATTCAGATTAGTGAATGAATAATCCTTCCCCGAAGAAAAAAATGATATCATCAGCAAATTGCAAATGAGTGAGATGAACCTTGTCTCATCCCACTGGCCACTCCAACTAAATCTCTTTCAACCCCCATGAAAAAAGTCTACTAAGCACATTAATTACCAAAATGAAAAGTAAAGGAGATAGAGGATCACCTTGCCCAAGCTTCCTAGAAGTAAAAGACTTTCTCCGAGACTTACCATTAATTAGATTATAGAAGATAGGGTTCTAATATAAGTTCTTTATATAAACCAAAAACCTTTTCTCCACTGGATCTTATAAAAAAATTCTCCATCAGCAGGATGGTAAGAATTCAATTTTAGAAACAATACCCAACTTGTAAAACTCGCATGACGTCCTTATAAATAAGTTCATCTTGGTGACCTTCCAATTTTTCAGGATTCTTTTTCAATGTTTGGTTGTTTAGTAAGGAAAAATTTGCAATTATGTTGTAGGACTTGATTGCGGGGTTTGACCAAGAAGCTGCTGCTGCAGTTATGGCACGTCTAGTTTCCTTCAAGATGGAAAATGAGGTAATTATATTGTTTTTTCCTAGTTTTTAAATCCTGAATGCTGGTTTCATGGTTTTGGACATGTATGGATAAATTTGGAATTTTATTAATAATGGTAGTTTCTGAAATTGTTATAAAAAAAGAATGTGCATAGTAGTTGTTTCTTCCTTCCATTTGTAGTGCATTTTCAATGACACGTTGGCCTAAGAATCAGTTTGGTGAAAGATGCAAAATTTGAAACAATATCTTCTACTCAGAACTTATAATTTATTTTGTTATACTATCAGCTCTTTGTTCGGAATTTGGGCTTCATAATTCAGGCTATTTTATAACTTACAAGAACAAACATTTTAACTAAGATTGGTAGTAATAGCTGCATATCTAGTGCTGAATAGAATATATATTTTGATACCGGATGGTAGAGATAGCTACATACGCTTGTAGTTGTTGTTTGCGAAGTTAGTATTTTCTCTTCTGTATGCTTCCTTGTTGTATTGTAACAATTTATTTATTGCTATTTTGTTTTAATATTGAAAAGTTGAAATTGGTATTCAGGCAGAGTTTGATCCTATAAGATGGTTGGATAAATCATTGATTCATCTTTGTTCCCGTTTTGGAGATTACCAAAAGGATACTCCATCTTCCTTCAGCTTATCTCCACGTTTTTCAATATTCCCTCAGTTTATCTTTCATTTACGACGATCTCAGTTTGTGCAGGTATTTATTTTATATATTTTCACAACTTTTAACATCAATTAGGTTCAAGATTTTTATAACCAATGTCAGAATATGTTGTAACATTCTTTTGATTCAATGTGAAATTTGAAGGTCTTTAATAACAGTCCTGATGAGACTGCATACTTCAGAATGATCCTGAACCGTGAGAATGTTGCTAATTCTGTTGTAATGATCCAACCGTCATTGATTTCTTACACATTTCATTCAGTCCCAGAACCAGTTCTTCTTGATGTAGCTGCCATTGCAGCTGATAGAATTCTGCTATTGGATGCCTATTTCACTGTTGTTATCTTCCATGGTGCAACTATTGCTCAGTGGAGAAAAGCTGGGTATCATAATCAGCCTGAACATCAGGTATCTTTTATTTTTTTTTTCCCTTTCCCCCCTAATTAAATGGAAACTGGAAAAAGAACACCCAGGGGGAGTGCACCGTGTCCCAGTTTGTTAAAATTCTCGCTGCATGATTAGAAGGCTTTTAGCCTTTTACATCTTTGGTGGAAATCATCTTGCTGTCACTCTTTGAAATACTGAATATTTATCTAATGGTACTGCAGAATTAGTGTACATTTTCATTTCACATAAAGAAACCATGAAATAAATTTATGGCTAAGATATCCTAATAACTTGTATTATCTTTACTTTATAAACTATCTAGGAAGTAAATGATTATTATATTTGTTGATCACACTACCTTTTAATCGAGGCTTCTATTTCTCTGCTTACTTTCTCAACCCACAAGAGTTTCGGCGGCATAGATGACCAAGTAATTGAATCATTCAAGCAGTTATTTCACCGTGTTGGAATTATATTTCTACATGAAGATTAGGTTAAGAGCATCTGCTTTAGATTATTATCCAGTATTATCTATATCATTAATGTCAATACGGGGAGACACCTTTTTTTTCCCTTTTTTTATTTCTGTGGGTTTTTCATTTTTATTCTGTATTGATACTAGAAAAAAAAATTAAACTGACGTGGCCATAAAGTTGACTACAAATGGCTTATGTTTGGTCCTAAAACACAATCCTCACTGTTTTTGCAGGCGTTTGCTCTGTTGCTGCAAGCTCCACGTGACGATGCAGATGCAACAATTAAGGAAAGATTCCCAGTACCACGTTTGGTGATCTGTGATCAGCATGGCTCGCAGGTTTGTACCTCTTTACTTGTCATCCAAAGTTCAGTGACTTGTCTATACTTCTTTCTGTTTTCCTTTTTTTTTTTTTAATTTTTAAATTTAGCTTGGGGATCAAATTCAAAGGCACTCCTTCCTTTTCCTGTTTGCTCCCTTCTTGAATCATGATCCTGTTCGCGGTCTAATAAACTGAGGGAGCTGTCATTTTAATACAGTGCATTAATTCGAATTAGCATCCCATATAGTGTCAAGAAACAGGTGAGGATTTAAAAATGGGTCTCTTGATTTCCTTCTAGAATTCCTCCTGTTTATTGAAAATACTTCTGATAAGAACCAAGTAGAGCATATAGAGGAATGGAGATGGAAAATGAACTTGGATCTGGTTAAATTCCATGAGGAATATGAAGTAGGACCGAGGACCGGATAGCCTTCCTCCTTTCCCAAGCCCAATCTAGTTCAACCAATTACTCAAAAATGATGTTCTTGTCACTTCCCCCCTGCCCCCTCTATATATATATATATATAATTTTTTTTTTCCTTGTAGTAAAAACCGAACTTTCATTGAGGAGAATGAAACAATACAAATGCGCATACAGAAAACAGCCTAACAAAAGTCAAACTAAACAGGCTCCCATCTAGCAAAATCAAACCTAATGGCCCAAAGGGAAATATGAAACTGAACAATAGCCCAAACGTCCACACAAGATCTCTCAATCCCTCTAAAATTCATGTTATTTTTCTTAGTCCACAAGCCCCATAGAACAACTAAGAAACCCGCCTGCCACAACCTCCCTCCCCCCTATTTGTAGCCACTAGTACCCTTGCAGAACCCTCAAGCCCACATCGATTGAGCTATCCCATTTAGGTATTCTATAACAAACTAACGAACTAATGACTTCCTACCTCCATATGGGAGCACTATCATCTTCACAATTCACTGCTATTTGTATATATATGTATTTTATTCTTATGGAAAAAACCAGCTTTCATAAGAAAAATGAAGAACGAAGAATACACGAGCCATAAAAAATGGAAAGCCCAAGAGAAAAGGAGCCACAAAACAAAAAGACACGCAGCACGAGACTAAAAAAAGACTCCCATTCCAAATAATGAGAGATAAAGGATAGAGCTATTTGCATACTTTGAAACAATATGTAAATGCAAGTCGCAGTCTTAAAATCTAAATAATGGGAGGAAACATGGAAAATGTTTTTTACTGAGTGAATTCAGTAAAGTTAATATTGTGAACCTCTGTTTATTTCTCATTTTCATCCAATGTCAAATACTGCTAGTCAAAATCTAATGACAACAACGACCTTACTTGAAATCTGTTCTATAGGTTGTACAACTGTGTCCTTGAGTCCTAAGGAGAAATTTGACAGCAACTCATTTCCCTTTACACCAAAAGATTAATTTTGATGTGGGGATTCCATCAGAATGAACCTAACAACGATTTCCGAAATCGGTTTTCCTCTTCTAGTCTCTGGAAGAACCTATATCATCTTCTGTTCCAATTAACATTTTTTTTTCTCTTCTGGGCAGGCACGTTTTCTTCTTGCAAAGCTGAATCCATCAGCCACCTATAACACTGAATCTCCCCTTCCAGGTGGAGATATCATCTTCACCGACGACGTCAGCTTCGAAGTCTTCTTGGATCATCTACAGAGACTAACCGTTCAATAAAAGAACACAGGTGGGATTTCTGCAGTTTTGTAACATTGCCTTCTAGTTTGTATAGTAATCTTTTCCACTTATTTTAAGCATATTGCATTAGCTCCCTGCCCTATGGGAAAACTTAGATGCTTTTCACCCTTTGATGTTCTTAAATTTATGAACTTTAGGGTACGTTTAGGGTAGTGTTCTCATCAAATTTGATTTCTCTTCTTCATAATTCATTGCATGGTATTGTTATCAAGCAATCATAGGAAGGTATCCTGAGTTCTGTAATTTTGTTGAATAGGAAATTTTACTAATAAAATAGACTTTTTGGGTCCGCTTGGCAATATTGCTGTGTCTTGTTTCTAGTTTCATCTTTTTTTAAAAATAAAAATTTGAATCGTTTCTTGTTTCTTGGTTCTTTTGTTTTTTAATTGAAAAATAAATTGAAACATGTTTGTAACTATTTCTTGTTTCTTGTTCTCTGAAATTTTAAATTAGAAAAGATTTTTTTTTGTATGGAAATTAATTTTTAGATTAAATATTAACATTTTTATGATATGATTATTTTATAATGTTTATTATGCATTTTAGAAGCTAAGAATGATATAATAATGTTTTAAATTTATGTTTTGGAAAATAACTTGAAATTGGAAACTAGAAACAAGAAACTTTGATTTTGTTGGTCCAAATTTTCTACAAAATTCTGAAAACATTTCTTAAAATTGAGAAACGAGAAATATGAACAATTACCAAAGGGTTGTTTCTAAAAAATTGAAAATGAGAAACAAGAAACAAAAAATAGAAACGTTATCAAATGAATGATTTGTTGGACCATGTATTTTTGAACTGATGACCTTGAATGTTACTTAAAGAATTTGTCAGTGATATATCTAATATGAAGTATATCATTCATACATATTTAGTGCGACTAATATACTTCATATCAGTTATATATTGATATATTTAATATTCAGTATATAAGTTATCTAATTATATAACTATATACCTAATATTTATTATATTTTATATTAAGTATATCGATCTTCATAAATAACAAGGTCGAAATTAGAATAATAAAAAACAAATATATTATTTTAAATTTTTTACCATATTTGTAAAACCAAAAAGCTATTGCTATATTTTCAAATATGACAAATATTGGTTTTAAGTTATTATTGTTAATAGAAATTTTCTAGAATTTTTTTAAATATTGTTAGTTTTAAAAATTTATTTTAAAAATATTTTCAAATTCAAACTTATTCAAAAAATAATGCTTAATAAATTCCTCTGCCATTAGGTGGTCAAGAGATGACCTACATACATGACATTGTATATTGTCTCTAAAGATGTGTAGTTACGTTTATTATTATTATTTTTTTGCTTTTTTTGCTCTTCCGTAAAAGCAAACTATTCATATTGTCTCTTGAATTGAAGAGACGATATGTACTTATTTTAAACAATTATACCAGTCCGGTAGTGGATATATATCCATCTTACCAACCTAAAGATATGTTAGGTAATTTATTTAAAAGTGAAAAAAATTGCAATAATATAACATTGTATTTGCTAAAAAAGAAAAATTACGAGGGTTGGAGATTAAACCTAAAATCTCGGTATTGGTAAGAGGGATATATAACCACACTCCACCAAATTGGTATATTAGATTAAACCTATAGTTTATTTTCCATAAAAAAGCAACATGACTACATGTCGACATACAATACCACCTAGTGTTGAAATTGACAATGGCGTGTCGATATACAATACCACCTAGTGTTGAAATTGACAATGGCGGGCAGATTTATGAAGCATTATTTCATTATTTTTGGAATAAATTTAAATTTGAAAATATTTGAAAATTGTTTAAAAAATGTTAATATTTAAAAAAATCCCAATTTATTATATATATATATGCAAAGACATTTCAAATACCAAGGGCTGATTGTCAAAACTTTTATTTTAGGATAATGAGCTGCAGAAATTAGTATCTTCTCGTATTTGATAACTCATTTGTCGCACTCTTTTTTCCTCAAAAGGATAACTTTAATACCACATTTAAATAAAATATATCAGGTAAGAAAACTAACGTGAAAACAAAAATTTATTAAATTACAGATATTCAATAAAAAATTTGATTAAAATAGTTATTAACTTTGCATCAATAGAAATAAGGTTTAAATTATATTTTAGTAGTTGAACTTTTAAAATATTTATTTTAATTTTAAAATTTTTTAAAAATAATCATTTCTAGTCATTAAAGTTTCAGAAAGTTTATTTGTCATTAAAAATGATTATTTTGGTAGAAATTTGACCAATCAAAATTACCAAATTTGCACTAATCTTGTAGAATAAAAGTGATTCGACAAAACTTGTAAAATCATAGAAGGAGTACACATTACACATTGATATGAGCCACACAAAATCCAATCGAGGTTTGGTGTCAAGCATAACACAAAGTAGCTTTTTGTAGCGTACCTCTATTGTGAATATTTCCTCCTAATCTCTTCTTTTAATTCCGTAGATAAGATAAAATATCACCTTTCTTCATGGGATATCCTCTTTATTTTCTAATAGTTTAGGCTTTATGGATTTTCTTCTTTGAAGTCGTTGGGCTTGAGATATTCTTCAAACTAGAATGGAAGACTTAAATTGGGTGACCAATCAAACTGTTGGGCTAGTTGGGCATGAGCTGACCAGTCGGCGTCGATTGGTCAATTTTGTGACTGATTTGGTCGTTAAAGTCGACCAACCGACGCACAGACTACTTGCCTGTGGGCCTTGGTCCTTAATCCTTGGGTCGGGTTTGCTTCTTAGGTCTCAACTTTAAGTTCTCGATCGGGCAACTGCTTGATATCCGAACTTAGCTTGCTAGGATTGAAATCCGTATTCTTGATTTATTGTTTTACTTCATCCCATAACACTTGTATAGGAAATTATACCCTAAAATATTATAATGATCATTATTTCTTTATTCTAACTCCAAAAAGTTTTAATACTTTGAAGGATAAAAGATAAAAGTTTTAAAATTTATTTATTTATTTTGAAACCAAAACTTAAAAATTATTAGAGATTATATAATATATATATATACACACACTGCAAGTGACAAGTTTTATATTTAATTTATCCAGTTTTTTTTTTAACTTAGTCAAAGAGAGAAATGATTATATATATATATATATATATCCACTAAATAAATTAAATCAAAGTAACATCACAATTGACACCTTAGTAATTAGAATATTGTTTTCTTAAAAAGTTGTGACCTAACAAGAATCTTTTATCTAGATCTCACAACATCATCAGGGTAAATAATAAAAAAAAAATTAAATTCATTAATTAGAGTAAGAGGATCCAATAGCCCTATCCCTTATTAATTGCCACAAAATTTATTAATTTTGTACATATTTAAAAAAATTAACATTTTGATCAAAACCCTAGGACTGATCTCTCTCTATATTATTGAATTCAATCCTTGGGTCCATTTGTTGTTTCTTCTTCATATGCTTCAAGAGTTGTTGGCTAATTTATTATTTAATATGAAACCATACAATAAGTCACTATTAAAAAAACCCTAATTATCAAATTAAAAAAATTAACCACTCCCACCAAAGCCAATAAGGTCCACAATGCTCCACCAAGTGTTGTTTCGTGTTCTTAAGAAATCCCTAATGGTCTTCCTACATTTTAAGATAACGTATTTTGTTATACGTTAAATTACATTTTTGGTATTATGCTTAATTTACTTTTGAAAGTTTTATCATCGTTCTTTATATTTTGATTTAAAGTTATTGAATGTTTCTAGTATTAGTGAGAATTAACAAAAATGTAACGTGACAAGTTATTTGTGGCTACACCATACAATAGAAATGACAGACAATCAATGAGTATTATTTCGGTGGCATTTTTTTAAAGTAACTTTTGCGATAATAATAATAGTAGGATTTAACCAAATATAAGTAGTAGATTTATCATATGAAAAAATATTTGCAAGAATGATATAAATATAAGATCTATACATTGATGATCAATAGGTGCTATATTAGGTATATCAAAGATGTGCACTTTATATTAAAAATATCGGTGGTATAATTTTTTAATGATATAGAAAGGGTAGATTAGTGATATATACGAGGAAAAATTTTTGTCATATTAACAAAATGATTTTCCATGCAACAAATTTACAAATATCGCAACAAATTTTTACCACTCATTAAAATTTCCATTTTCAGAAGATAATTCCACTCAACATGTCAATTTTCGGGGATAAAAATTAATATTGAACATTTTATTTATAAAAGCTATTTTCATAATTTATTAAAGGACCAACCTTTAATAATTATTTGGAAATGTATTGTTATAATTATTGATTTGGAAATTGGAAGTAGGTAACAAAAATCTTTTATGTATTTCAAAATATGTGAGCAGTTTTTAAAATTTTCAAATACAGCAAAAATTTTCACTTATATCAATAGTATATCAGATACTCATATCAATAGTATATCAATAATATATTAGATACTTATATTATGTTAGATGTAGATCACATACATATTGGACAGATACTCATATTAATAGTATATCAGTAGTTAGATATATTATAGATATTTTACAAATATATATCATTTGAGTAAAGTTGTCATTTTAAAATTGTACTCCGTTTTTTTTAAGTGCTATATTTTGAAAAACTAAATGTGGTTACTATTTTACTAATTTTATTAAATGTTTTTGTCAAATTTGCCACTCCCTTGTTGAAACATATATAGTTAATCATGGAAAAACATGTCAACACGAGTAACATTTAATAACTATTGAAACATATAGTTAATCATATACATGTTATTTAATGTGCCAAATCACTAAAAAAATTGAATTTATTTTAACAAATAATTTATATAGTTCCATGAATGGATATCTTGATGTAATATCTTGTTTCTTATGATTCAATGATCTTTTGTTCTTTTAGGAAAAAGTAAGGTTCTATTGTTTGAAAGTTACTTTAATAATTTATTAACAAGATTATCAACTGTGATATTCATAAAGTCATAAGAGGTACTATTTATGTATTTATGATACCTAGCTCTTCCACTTATCATGACCTTTTTTTTTCTTTTGAGTTTAAACAATTCCAGATTTTGAAGATTTAACATTTAGGAGAGATGCACGATGTCTTAACTACTTGAACTATGTCGTTTGTTTGTGCAATAATAAAATCGGTCAAAGGTCGGAACTAGTCAACAGAGGAGACTGGAACGAGTTTGAGAGTGTCTTGGCTAGGAGATGCATGCTCAAGAAAGACAAACATCCGATGCTCAATTCAATTTAAGTTCGACCTAGGTATTATGACTGAGATAGAATATAATACCTAATGTGGAAGTGGAATCCTGTATATAGGTAGAGGATCCGACATGGTATTCGACTGGCAGTTACTCGTGTTGTCATGAAGGTCAGGTTGTCGGGTGCATAAGATCGGAGGTAGGTAAGACCTTCAGTCGGGGGAGATCTGATCTTTCGACATTTCTCTATTCTCCACATGGCAAAGGGGAAAAATCCCAATGTTTTTTTGTTCATGGAGAAAGACCTTTATTCTTGTAGTGATACGCAATGGGTCATTGCTTGACGGAGTTGTGTTCCATGTGACTTGAACACAAGACCTCAAGGATATTTCTTAACCACCCAAACTATCTCTTGGGGACGTTCAAATTGGCCTTGGCCATATGACTATTATATATATCGCAACCAGAATGAAAAAATGATGAAATTAGTAAAAAGTACCTATAATATTTAAGAGTCTAATTCCACTCTAATAGTCATTGAGGTCTTATCACTCCTTATGGACCCGAACCTCAGTGATTTAGGATAATGAAACTTAGATAAAATTAAGTGGATGGTCTTTTCACCGATATTACGGTCTCTTTGATAAATACCACGCGACAACTCGAGTAGAGCAATTCAGGAGTTATAGYGTGACTTATATCTCTCTTTTAAAAGAGTCCTAGATTCTAATTCCAGTATCATACATGTATTTGTAATGTATTCTTCAAAGAAAAGGAAAACACTACAGTATTATAATCATCCAACCCTCTCTCATACTCACTTTCCATATTATATTGATTGAAGAATGACAATAAGCTTTCACTAGCTCTACACCACTTTTCTCCCCAAAAACTTTTGTTCCTAATTTAGAATCCATTCCTCTTATAAAGTAACACAATTCCTTTATAAATAATAGTAGCAATAATAATAGCCATGGGAGAAACATTGCTAAGTATTGCTCTATGGGTGTAATTATTGAGATAAACATTCAACTTTATTAGGCCACTTGTTAAATCAAACAATATAATATATCTACAAACCCCCCAATTAAATTATTCTAATTCTGCCTTCCTAAACTTTGTATTATTATAATAACAATACTTTAATTTATGCTTTTGTCCTAATTAATGCTGTTTCTCTTTCCTCTATCCCCTTTTTATTTTTCTATTCATTTCTAGGGTTTCAACATGGGACTGATTTCTGCTCCTCTGTTCTCTCACACATATCCATATAAAATTTTATAATAATTCATTCTCCTTTCAAAAATATATTGTCCCCTTTTTATTATTTTACCATTTATTATTATTATTATTTTTTTGCCCCCCTGGTTTTTTCCCTGTTCATCTTTGAGAGTGTTTTAAGTTTCTCTCTCTCTTGTGTTTAATGGCTGCTTTAAACTTGGGCTCCGCTTCTCACTTTGTTGACCAGCTCCAGCACCGCCCTGATCTCCACCTAGAGCCGCCGCCGGATTCCGGCCACTTCAACGGCGGGGGCGATGTCATGGTCCGCCGGCCGAGGGGCCGCCCGGCCGGGTCCAAGAACAAGCCGAAGCCGCCTGTGATCATCACGCGCGAGAGTGCCAACACGCTCCGAGCTCATATCTTGGAGGTCGGTAGCGGCTGCGACGTGTTCGAGGCCGTGGCTGCCTATGCACGGCGGCGCCAACGGGGGATCTGCGTGTTGAGTGGGAGTGGGATAGTGAACAATGTCAGCTTGCGGCAACCCGCAGCGGCGGGCTCGGTGTTGACACTGCAAGGTCGATTCGAGATATTGTCGTTGTCGGGATCGTTTCTGCCACCGCCCGCTCCTCCCGGTGCCACCAGTTTGACGATCTTCTTGGCTGGAGGACAAGGGCAGGTGAGTTAAAGTTAGCTACCACTAAATTCAAAAGCTTAAACGAACATGTTAATTACTATATAATTTTAATAATTTATACATATTCTTAACACTCCGTTTAGAGATGACTCTCAGCGGGATCGGGATCGGGACGGAGAAGAGGAATGGATTTTAATCCCCCTCTCTGATTTTAGCTACGGGAACCAAAAAAAAAAAAGGGTTTAGGAGTTTCCCCTTCTCCATTTTTTCTTAGAAAAAAAATTTTCTACTTAACCTATAAAATCTTTTTCCAATCAAGTGTTAACAACATATTGAAATTGAGGGAAAATTATTTAATTAGGTTACTAATTATTTGTAACGATTAATTTTTGAAAAAGTTTTGATCCTACCTCACTTCTAGGTTTGAAAATTGAAAAACGTGAACAATTTCTAATTTGTTACTGTATACTATCAAACTCAAAAACTCTATTAATTTTTTTTCAACTAAACCCAAGATCTTAAGACGATGAATTTTAAGGTAGATACAACCATTTATATGTATTCTCAACAGGTGGTAGGCGGAAATGTGGTGGGAGCTTTGATCGCATCGGGACCGGTCATTGTCATAGCTTCGTCGTTTAGCAACGTGGCGTACGAGAGGTTGCCATTGGATGAAGAAGAAGAATTGCCGATGCAGGCCGGGGCTGGGCCGCAGAGCTCCGGTGGAGGCGGAGACGGCGGCGATAGCCACAACAACCCTTTTCCCGACGCATCTTCCGGCCTGCCCTTCCTTAATCTGCCAATGAACATGCCGAATCAGAACCAATTTTTCGGTTGAAAAATTGGATGAACACTTCAAATTCATCTGCAAATTCACAGGTTTAATCCCAATAATTTTCAGTCATAAATCTCTCTCTCTTCTTTCTTAGTCTCCAATCTCTGCTTGTTTGTGGTGTAAAACTTTGTTAAATTGTCTGATTTAATGTTCAATTAATCTTGATGATCAAAATTTCTACTATTTTTTTTCTTTACTATTGTTTAGAATTGGTCTATTTGTAAGAGAACCACCTTATTAATTTGTGATTTTATTGCTTTCTATAATTAACTTGAGAAAAGATAGAGAACATATGGTAATGAAAATAATTAAAAATATTCCCAAACATTTATAGAGAGTAATTATATTTCTAGTCCAATAATACGTGGAGGTGGTCGAAGTCACGCTACATGCAATATGATTCTGTTACATTGATTTTTGATTTAGTAGGCTTTGATTTTTCTAATTTATTTTAAGAATATAGATGTTATATTGAAATTAAATTAGATGCAGATTAATCTATATTTGATTGACTGTCTCCATTAATTGTATCGTTTCTTGTAAAATTACCACTCTTGTTTCTTTTTTTGGATGTAGCTACGACTTATAATTTATGATATGGGATAGGGTATGGAATGAAAATTTCATTTCTTGATACTGAAATTTTGTTTATTTTTCTTTAATTAAAGTGTTTCATTTGTTTAAATAACTTGATACAGTTTCTTGTTTATCTTCCCTCTAAGTTTAATCTTGCCTTTCGTCAACATGGATTAAAATGTCTAAATTTATTTAGTTAATAGCTCAAGATTTTGATGGTTTATATCATTGTTCTTCCATAAATTCGATTTTATGTTTAGCAAAAGTAATAATTATCGCTATTATTTTCTCTCTGTGTTCATGTGGGGTGAGAATTTGAACCTCTGACTTTTTGATCAAAGATGTCTTAATGAGTTGAGCTATATTTAGATTCATTATGTATATATGATTATGGTGAATTAAGTTTCCAAAATGAAATGAGCGGGTTTCATTATTAAGTGGGTTTTTGCATTTTTCTTCTTTGATTTGATTTGTGTTGATGTCGATTTTTGGGCAAGAGCCACGTAAGTGTTACGTAGGTGCCACGTATGCCTTTGTCTCCAAGCTTTTTGTTACCTACACACAGAAATCTAGCACCAGTGTGGTGCTTTGCTGAATTGCATTCCGATGCATAAGTTAGAACTCAAGCTGAGCAAGCAAGAATGAAGCAAAGTAGGTTATGGGTTGAAATATATGTTTTTAGTATGGGTCCTATTTTTAGGTCAAGACTTGGGGTTTCTTTTTCTAGTGTTTACACATTTTCAACCTTTTTTTCCTATAACAATTCATCTGAGTCATCAAGTAGTGTCAAATTTTTGTATTACAAATTTTCCCTTTCATCTGCACAAGAAAAGATAACCCAAACATAACCCACTCTGTTGTATTAAAAAAAACGAACATAACCATTTGTTTTATGTTAGACACCAACGCTAAAGAACTCGTAAGAATCGTGGACTGGAGGATGGCCACGAAGCACACATAATCACTTTTTCCATCTAAACCTCGTCATACATGTAGCTTAAACTACATATGATCGATGGTATATGTTTTCGTCATATTTATGTGAAATGATCTATACATAATTTTATGAAAAAATTTGGCACTAACGTCCTTTCACAAAATTTTGAACTTTCAACTTAAGAAACGATAATAGATGTTGTGTTTAATTAAGCTATACATGCTTGAATTTTGTAGACACCTAATATTTAAAAATATAAGAATGAACTTGAATTAAGTATAAAAATCTTAGCTACCCTAAGCATATTACAAAGATTAAGACATATTTTATTGAACAAAGAGCTTTGGAGATAAAAGTACTCTTTATTTATTTCTTTGAGAAAAGAGTTTGTATACACATGTAGCCAAATAATTAATTATAAGTAAACTAATTACAAACCAATGGAACTAATAATAAATCCGGTATAAACTCAAATACAAATGACCAAATATGTCAAGTCTAGTTCAATGGTAATTGACACATACTTGTTTGAGGTTAGAGGTTCAAACTCTCGTACCCCAATCTATTATACTAGAGAAACCAAATATAAACTATAATATCTAAGAAAAAGGGATCAAAACGAGCAATAGTATTTGACATGCATATATCTCAAATTAAAAGGTTGTGAGTTCGAACCTCACCACATGTTGTATTAAAAAGAATAAAATCTAAGAAAAAGTGAGATTTAACTTTCAACTCTTCATTGTCTAAAAATAAAATTAGCTTAATTATTGAAATGAAATTAATATTTTTTTTTACAAAGAAATTGAAATATTTTAAAATTAATTATGCTTTGCCCGTGATTTCCATAATTATTGGATTTTGCTCAAACACCGGCTTTTCAATGCTTTTTTTTCTTTATTATTTTTTTTGTTTTGATTTATTTTATAGATTCCACCACAGTGGATCGTTATTTATTATAATGAACCCAAGAAATGGGGGCAAATTTTTCAAAATAATAAAATCAAAAAAGAAATTAAATTACAAAATAAAATAAAATAATAAAAGTCTTAAATAGGGTTCATTTCAAAAGTATTGACAAAAGTAGGGTAGTTTTGGTCAAAGTCTAAACTCGTGTACAATGTACACGTTCTACACGTGGAAGATGGCGTGGAAATCGTGGAAGAAGCGTGTACATTGTACACGCTTTAGGGTAAATCGTACACGATGTACACGAGTACAAAACTCGTGTACATCGTATACGATTCACCTTTTTTTTTTTATCTTATCTCTTTTAAACTATGAACAATTTTACCAACACAATTCGGAAAGTGGACTTAAAAATTTAAGTTCAATTATAAAAATTCAAATCGAGTTGATTGAAAAATAAACATTACAGAATATAGATAAGAATTCATGTACCAAATGGTCGTTGTCTTCTCTGACGACCTCCAAGACGAGGTTGAGGCCTATAAATATGTGATGCTGGATGATGAATTATATTATCGATATCTTGCTGCGTTACTTCAATAGGTGATAGTTGCGGATGAATTGAACTTGATGCGATATCCATATGAACTGCAGGTGTAGGAATCATAATAAAATCTGACTAAACTGGAGTAGTTGGAATTTGATCTTCAACTATTGGAGGCTCTTGGCTATTGAATATTATCATCTATAGGTGGTTGGCGTCTACGACGAGCACGCCTCCTCTCAAAGTTGGAAGAAACTAGTCTACTAATGCCCTTCCGAATGTTTGTACTTCGAATGAAGTTCTCACATAAAGAACCCAATTGCAGTATATTATGTTTTACTTCAATGTTCTGCACTTCACTGACAAAAAAATTCTAAAAAAAAGAAGCATATAAATTTAAATTAATATCATAAATAATTAAGTTAAGAAATGTAATACTCACCGTGTGATCGTAAAAAGCACCTTCATATCTAATGTATTTTCTCGTGACAGAACTGTACCAATCTAAATACTCAATTAAGGCAGTCGGCCTATCTGTTACATCACCAATTACACATCGGTCACGACGTTGACGCCACATTGTTATATTTGTTGCATGCCGGTGTTGCCAATCATGATCATGCTTTCCTCGCAAGTCTACTTTATATAATTGCGAGTCCGTATCACAATATGATGGAATAGTTTGTCTTAGCCCAAATTGTCGCAAGACCTGATTTGGTTAATGAAACTCGATAATATGTGTAGACACCGTATTTGGTCCGGCTCGCTTTCGTTTTTTTTTAATTTATTACTAATTTATTTATTATTTATTATTTATTATTTATTATTTATGTTTATTGATTTAGTTTAAAATAACATAATTTACTTTATTATAAAATTTAATGTAAAGTTTTAATTGAATCAAATTTTAAAATTAGATTTTATTTGAAAATAATTGATTTTTTTTAAATTGATTTTAAGATAAAAAAACAGTTCTCCCCTTTGATATCCCCTCCCCTTCTTCTCCTCCCTCTTTTTCTCTCTTCTCTTCCCCTTTTTCTTTTTTATCGTTAGTTTTAGGTGTATTTAAGGAGGGCTGCAGTGGGGAGGAAGGACAGACAGAACCCATACAGAGAAAATTCACTTCCTTCTTTCTCTCTACCATCACTTTCTCTTCCTCTTCACCCAGGCCGACAACCCCGACGATACACAGACTACACAAGTCCCCGGTGATCACAAGTTCAGACAACCTGCACCACAGTAGTCTGGCGCAAAGTTCAACAATCGATGCACGGATCATCGACCACTTGAATCCGACCTCGAGTGCTCCTTCACGGTTTCAGACTCGCGGGCACACCCAGAATTTCCTCACTGCAGTACGTGGTATAGAAAAAGGTTGTTTTAGAAATGATTTGATTTTTTTTATATTTGTTTTAAATAAGCTTGTTTTAAATTTGATATATATATATATTTTAAAATAAATTTGTCTTATGATTTGATAATTTTTAAAATAAGAAATATGATTTGATTATTTTTAAAATAAATTTGTTTTAAATATGATTTGATTATTTAAATTTTAAAAACAAGTAAGAAATATGATTTGATTATTTTTCAAATAAGAAATATGATTTGATTATTTTTGAAATAAGAAATATGATTTGATTATTTTTGAAATAAATTTGTTTTAAATATGATTTGATTATTTAAATTTTAAAAACAAGTTTGTTTTAAATGTTTTTTTTAAAGGAAGTTTGTTTGAGGAATTTCAAATCTAAAATAAAATAAATTTATTTTATTATTATTATTATTATTTTTCATTTTAGTATTATTATTATTTTTTTAAACATTTTTTTAAATAAAGATTTGTATTATAAAAAATAATACTAAGTTGTATCATATGGTGTTGGCATAGTGGTAGGTTACTTAGGAGTAATTCATATGTCTTTGGTTTGAGTCTTTGCTTGCTTAAATTAATGTTTTTTTTATATCATTATTTTACCAAACAACTATTTTAGATAAAATGTTTTTTTTAATATAAAAAAAACTTTCGTTTTTATAAGATTTCAAATCTTAAAACATTTATATAAAATATCAAGTGATATCTTAGGATGTTGGCACATTGGTAAGAAATTTATATATGGACTTTCACATCACAAGTTTAAGTCTTGATGGCCCCTACACTAAAATTATTTTTTTTATTTATTAATTTTTCTTTTCTACTAAATAATT